TAGTATTGTAATTTTATTGTTGTTCTGTAAAATAAAATAAAAAGTAAGACAATAATAATAATTACAACAGCTCTATTTATTATAACATTCACACACAGTGTTCATATTGGGATCTGTAATATTTTCTAATGTTTTAAAAGAAGTTTCTTCTGCTTAGCAAGGCTGCTTTCATTTAAAAAAATACATGCCTTATTCAAGAAGGGGGTCTGATGGCCAAAAAATATTATTTTACTGACTTAGGAATTGCCCGTTTGAATCGCTCTGATGAATGCTTCACTGAATAAACTCAATGAATGGCCATTGTATCAAATGAATTGATCTGGATCTGAATTGTAGAACTGCAAGTTATTACTTTCTGATATTTGTACTTTATGTATTACTGTTTATGTACACTACCAGTCAAAGGTTTTTAGTTTTTTCTCTCATCCTCACCAAGGCTGCATTCATTTGATTATAAATACAGTAAACATTTCTATTTTGAAATATTAAAACTTTTCTCTATTTGAGTACATTTTAAAATTTCATTTATTTATTTGATGGTAAAGCTGAATTTTCAGCAGCCATTACTCCAGTCTTCAGCAGTACAAGATCTTTCAGAAATCATTTTAACATGATGATTTGATGGTCAAAAACAATAATAATAAAAAAAAAATTGGTAACACTTTACTTAAAGCCTTTATGTATAATGCATTATAATTGTTCATAATGTGCGTTGTAATATATTATATCTAATTATAATAGAATTTAAAATACATAGTGTAACAATGAATTGGTAAGTATTATAATGAATTAACTGTAGTTACAATTAATCATGAGATTGTACAATGCATTATAATGTGCATTACAAGGCATAATTAGTGCATTAAGACTACTTTTATAATGCATTATACATAAAGGCTTTAAGTAAAGTGTTACCAACATTTCTTATTTTTATTCCAGTTTGAAGTTGTGCTGCCTAATATTTTTGCATTTATTTGAAATAGAAATCTTTTGTAAAGATTATAAATGTCTTTATGGTCACTTTTGATCAGTATAATGCATCGATAAATAAAAGTATTTTATTTATCTGACCCCAAATGTTTGAATGGTAGTGGATAATTTAGGCTAACCTTTTTAAATATATACAATTCTTAGGTAGACATCATTGAAAGTAATAACTTGCAGTTATATAGTTAAAATAAATACACTTGATCCATTTATTAATATCTAGCACTACTGGCCATATAACGCCTTTATTTTACAAGGGAATACTAGCTAGGCTTTGTTCAAATCAATGCTAAAACCTCAGCCGCAGTTGAGAAGGTGTATGATCTCTGCTGTCTCGGTAGAGACACGTGATGTTGCTCAGGTGGCATGAACAGCAGGAACAAATTTAACAGATCAAGCAAAAACACTAAACATGCAGCTATTTATAACTCTGATTCTGTATATATAGATGTCAGTGCTTTAGTTGGGTCGCCCTCTGAAGTTGTTTATTATATTTGCTCATACTTGAGGTTAGGGATTTCAACATCATAAATTGAAGAGAAAAAAAAGAATCAGTTCTGATGGTAAAAATTTGCTTTTTTCATACTCTCAAGTCCTTTAAATAAGAGAAATATCACTGAGGACATGTTTTGTAGTCTAAAAAGAAGATGGATTGCCTCAGATTCATATCAAATTGAATAGTCAGAATCACCTATCATCTTCAAATGTTGCTGCACAGCATTTTATATTAATAGCCCATGTCTGTATTCTGGTCTAATCTAGTGTTTGAAATGACTTGAAGGTGTATGCAGTTTATCTTCATGGTTAACACTGAAATGAATGAAGTGTCAAATAAGACAGGACTCATCTCACTCATCTGTCCTTGGCCATTTCCATGATAGACATTTTGAGCATTCAAGTGATGTATGTATCAGTCATCTAGGACATTGGGTATTGAGCACCTCTTGTCTTCCTGATGTAATATAGCTTTTATATTATTTATGGAGTGCAAGCACAAGGTGTTTGGTCAATTTTTTGTTGTCTAAATTTAGCACTGGCAAATATACGACAGTCAAGTTGAGTAGACAAGATATACAGGCATGTTACAGGTTTCACGAAACCTTTCGAATGTTTTTTATTTTATTTTTTTTCACATCCTGTTATTCTTAAAGATGCCAACTTATGTATTTGAAAGTGTTGTCTTTTATATTTATGAATATTATTACAAATTAAAGCCTTTGTACAAATGTTTATTTATAAAGTAGATCATACGGATATTGACCTTAATGTGTAGTAAGTGCAAACTAAGTGGATGTAAATTGTTTACATGGTTGAAGCTCAATTTTAAAGGTACAAACTAGGGATGTTCATTTCGGTTATTTTTCCTAACCGATGCTCGTTAACCGATTATTAACCGTTAACCGACAAGATTATTTTAAATTAGAATTGAATTAAATTAGACAGGATAAGTGTCTGTCACCCGTTAAAAATGCTATCATTTGTTTCCCGGGGATTAATTTTACATGCGCAAAAGCAGCAAACAACAGAACATGAGGATTCACATGGTCATCATATCATATGACGCACCTGCAGCGCTTCTGCGAGCGGAGAAAAACATAATAAAGCTA